CCCCCCGGGGGGGGATGATTTCTCACTTTCTGTCTCTCTGTCTCTCTCTGTCTTTCTGGTGAGCGCACGTGTCCTATAGCAAAAAACTCTAAAAAAAAAGTGTGTAAATATAATTGTTTTCTTAATTTTATTTTGGGTTATTTATTTCTAGTGTATAGAACTATAACTGACTTTTATATGCTGACCTCATATTGTAAATTTTTATTTGTTTAGTAGTTCTAATAGTTTTTCTGTCTTCTTCTTCTTTTTATAAATTTGCTAGAGGACTGGGTGCTCACCAGGGAGAAATAGATAAGGAAGTGGGGAGAAGAAAGCACCCCTCCATGGGAAATGATCATGCTGCAATCCTTTCTCCTCCATCTTTCTATCCTTTTGAGATTTGGAGCATGCATTCACATGTGTCTGACATGTTTTTCAGACTTTCAGGTCCAGGACTTGAACCACACAGTTTGCCATGTGGGATCCAGCTCACATAACCACCAGGCCATGGGATAACCTGATTAGTTCTAATAGTTTCTGAGGAATTCATATCTACTGTGTGCCAAATACTGTTCTAGGCTTTTGGGAAATACCAATGAACAAAGATCTGTTAGCTGATAGAGCTTACATTCTAGGGGAAGGAGTTAGATAATTAACAATATTATAATAAGTAAGTAAATGAGACACTAAATAATACGTTCTATGAGAAAAGAACAAAAAAACTAGAACAGAGTGGGAGAAACAGGAGAACTGGACTTAGGGACAAAATTGCAACTTTAAATAGGAAAGTCAGCCTCACTGAGAAGGCTCTCAAGAGGGAAATGACTTGTTTGAGTCCCCTTAACTAGTCAGTGAGTGATAGGGCAGAATCTGATCCTTCTGACTTGAATGACTGTGCTATTTTTTGGAAGGGATAGATGACTTGAAAGTGATTGGAGGTCTCAGGAAGGACATGACCCACTTTAGTCACCACTCATCCAGTGAGGCAAAGGGCAGACAAGAAGCAGGAGGAAAGCATCTAAAGAAACCTAAGGACCTGGCCGGAAGGTCTGAGATGAACATAGTTTTTTATTTGGTTGGTTTTTATGTTTTTGCCATAGGGCATGTGCACTCACTGGAGAGACAGAGAGAGAGACAGAGAAAGGGAAAGTGAGAAATCACCCCCTTAGGGAATGGCCACACCCTAAAATCTTCTCCATTTTCCTCTAAGGATTTTGGGCATACACATATACACACCTGGTGTGATTTTCAAGCCACCGTGTCCAGGACTCAAACCACTGTTGACCATGTGGTATTCCAGTGCCTTAACTGTCATGACACCTGCTGGCCCTATCAGCACACTTTTTAAAATGGTATGTTCGGCCTAGCCTCTATGGTACCATCAGTAGCATTCTTTTTTCTTTTTTCTTTTCTTTTTTTTTTGGAGAGGTTTTTGCTATAGGGCACATGCGCTTGCCAGAAAGACAGAGAGACAGAAAGCGAGAAATCACCCCCTAGGGGGGATGGCCACACTGCAATCCCTTCTCCTCCATTCTCCTCTCAGGATCTTGGGCACACACACACACACACGCCAGGCGTGAGTTTAAGGTACCGGGTCTGGGACAACCACGGTTGACTACATGCGAGTTCAGTGACATAGTCATTACACTAACTTCTGGTCCCCCATCAGTAGCATTCTGAACTGCGGGACTGCAAGCCAAATGTGATCTCATTCAAATACCCTGCGGGTCGGCCTGGAAACATTCTGGATACTTGCATATATGCCCAGGATCTTGGAGAGCGGAGGACTGGAGGAAGGGGATTGCAATGTGACTGAGCCCTGTGGAGTGGCTTCTCCTTCTGTCTCTCTAATTTTCTCATATTTGCACATGCACTTATAAACATTTTTTTTTTAAAGATGTGTTTGAAAGGTGGAAGAAGGGCACATCATTATCTAAGGGGAAAATACAAAAAAAATAGTGACTCTATCATATGAATATCTTAGAAGAGAAGCATTTAGATACATCTTTCAGAGCTATTAACTCTCCTCAGGCATACTCTTGGAAACAGGATTACTTAGAGCTGAAGACAGACACAGGGCACTTCTTGAAGGATTTATTTTAGATTGAGGAGATTTAGAAGGCTGAGACACAAATAGAGTTTTGTTGACCAGGTGTTATAAAAGCTACAGTTCAGTAAAATTTTCCCATGTTTTGATTCGAAAATTTTCAGAGAAGAGTGTTACAAATAATTAATCTTTCATAAAATTACCACTCAAATGCTCCTGCATTTCAGAAGATAGGCTGTCATTAAGAGGGAAGAGATGTCTTCTACTGAAGAATTTGTTTCACCAACAAAGGACCCTATGCAAAATTGTTTTGTTTGTGAGCTCCAGAATTAAGTCTATGTTGTGACCAAAATCTGAATAAATATAGTCAAATGAATGATTTTTGTGCAGATAAAAAGAAATACAGAACTTGTGGAATGGATTCTGAAGGTAAAGCTCATTTGCATATAACCATCACCCCTTAGGTCTTTGAATCAAAGACAAATGAGTGATAGATATCTCTTTCTCATTTTACTGATGACAGCTAAGGCCAAAACATTTTAATTTGCCCCATGTGATAGAGGTAATTACTTGGAGTTAATTCCTTGGCTGGCGTTTATTCTAACTCACCAGAGTCCCATCTTGTATACATTTAATTTATGTGAATTTCAATTATTGCAAATGGCCCAAAAGGAGAAAAATATTGTGATTTTATTTTCACATAGTTTATCATATACTGTCCATTATCACATGTGTAAAATAATTACATAGCTATATTAATGTATAGGGTTATATATATAATCATGTATACTATTCTTTAAGGGTAATTTTTTTTAAGTTTTTTTTCTAGAGACAGAGAGAGAGAGAGAGGCACTCTCCACCTGTCTTTATACTGTGATATTCCCACCCCTCCCAGCTCTTAGCTAGCCAGAATCATAAGTGAGCTTCTGGGCGTGCCCAGCATGTCTGGGCAGACCCCGGAAGCGACCCCAGAGACTTTCCATATGACCTCCAGCACTGCACAGCAGTGCCTCTGCTACCGTGTTACCATGGCTGGTCATGAGGAAAATTTAAGAGGTTTTCAAGAGGTAATTCAGGTTATTAATAATTGACATCCCATGTATGCATTAAACAATTAATCCCCTCCAAATAAAACACAGCTCCATGTGATCCACATTTCCTCTTTCATCATACGACAGGTCAAATCAAGTCCTCCAAACATGAATTTGTGGTGTAAGGGCAGATATGACTCAGCTGAATGTGAAGTAGTTTTTTCTTTTTTCTTTTAAATTCTTTTTTTTTTTTTTTGTCATAAACACCAGTAAAGAAAAACCGTTACACTGTATTTATTTGTGGGGTAGGGCTGTGCCAATGCTGGAATTCAGTGGGAAAGAAAGGAGACTCCTGAGTTGACTCTTTTTTGGACAGTTTTAATTCTCACATCAACCAGTCATCAGCAACTCTGCAAGATCTGATGTGTGCCTGGTCAGGGGTCTCCCCAGTTCTGGCCACATGCTTATCATTCCAGGGGAGCTCTTCTGCCAGTTCTGTTTCTTCTCTCTACTGTGTGTGTGTGTGTGTGTGTTGTTCTGTTTTGTTCCTCATTTCTCTCATTTCTAACTTCTCTTTAATACCAGACCTATAAATGGGTATCTAGTCAGGTTGAATGGAGCAACCATTTCTGGTCCTCTTCTCAAGATCTGATTTGGATTCACTAGAACAACTACCCAGCTTCAGATGTGTGCTCTTTATGCCCTCGAAAGATTCAGGGGATAAGTATAAACTCTTAGAATTTTACCCTTTAGGAGTTTAAGATACCTAATAGGTCAGCTAACATGAAAGCCTGCTTTTAAAGGTTTTGAAAGTGAGGAACTGGTATAATGGTTATATCAGGAGCTGGTATAATGATTACGTTGCTGGACTCCCACATAGTTAACCACAGTTCAAGTCCTGGACCTGGCAGCTTAAAACTCAAACTGGGTGCGTGTGTGCATGCCCAAGAACCCAAGAGGAGAATGGAAGAGAAGGGATTGTAGCATGGCCATCCCCCTTGGGGTTGATTTCTCACTCTCTGTTTCTCTGTCTCTCTCTGTCTCTCCTGCAAGCGCATGTGCCCTATAGCAAAAATATCTCTTAAAAAATAGATTTTAAAAGTGAAATCCTGAGAGTTTTGAGAGTTTTGGTTGTATAACTTTAGTGATAAAGGTAGTTTTTATCACTACTCTTTAAGTTTTTACAGGAGAATTTTAAAAAGGAAACATAAAAAAGGAAACATTATAAAGACATTTATGGGCTACAGACATGGATTATTATCTCTTGATGATAATGTATATAGTATCCTCAACTGGACTAATATGAAGTGTATTCACGTTGGATAAATTCACTTTATAAGCTAAGTGATGTATAGTGATTGAATGTATAAAATAAATTAAAATTAATATATATAAATGAGACTTATAAGGGGCAATCCTCTGAGTTTCTGTGAAAAATATTCTTAGAAACATGAGTCTTCAGTCCTGGGCATTGTGTAACCTGCATTTACCTCTGAGCCCCAAAAGGAAATGTCTTACTGTATTAATAAAACACTTGTGGATTTAGGAGAACACATTGTGGAAACCAGTCACGGTCTAAATGTATTGCTGAAGCTGAGAATGTACTTATCGAGGGTGCAAAAGGTGAAGAGGATGCTTGAGATGTTCTTGAATGAACAGTTTTCTGTATTTGTGATGGGAAGGAGCAAAGGCTTGTTCAGGCTGTGTTCAACAGGACAAAAACCTAGGCCAAAGTGGTAGCTGAGAGATCTACCTTATCTCTTTGAACATATTAAGAACATTTAATGTGTGTTCATTGTGGGGAGCTACTTCCTGCTCTAGACATGACAATGAAGCTCTTTTAAGAGAAAAGAACTGTGCTGGCCCCATAGCCTAGAGGTAAAGGGAGCCGTATCCCAGATCCTGGCAGCTTAGAAAACAAACCAGGCATGTGTATGTGTGTGCCCCAAATCCCAACAGGATGGAGAAATGGAAGAGGAGGGATTGTGGTGTGACCACACACCATGTGGGGTTGCTTTCTTCCTCTCTCTCTGTCTCTGATGAACATATGCATCCTCTGACAATTAGATTCAACAATTATGGAGTAATTGTAATGTGATTTTTAAAGATTAAAAAAATGAAAGGCAGGACCAGCAGATGGCATAATGGTTATGTCGCTGGACTCCCACATAATCGAATGCTGTTTGAGTCCTGGATCCAGCAGCTTAAGCCTCATGCCAGGCATGTGTGTGTGCATGCCCAAGATCCCAAGAGGAGAATAGAAAAGAAGGGACTGTGGTGTGGCCATCCCCCCCTGGGGATGATTTCTTGTTTTCTGTCTCTTTTTCTCTCTGTGTTTCTCTGGTGAGCTTATACACCCTATAGCAAAAGTGTAGCTCTATCTCTCTCTCTCTCTGGTGTGCATACATATTCTATGGCAAAAACCTAAACAAACAAACAAACAAACAAAAGGCTCTTTGGCCTAGTGCTTTAGGGAGTCAGATGCCACAAGGTAGATAATGGTTTAAATTTATGGGATTAGGGAAGATCACTTGAAACACATGCTGGGTGTGTACACATGCCTGCCTCAAATCTTAACAGCTTGAAGAAATGGAAGAGAAGAGATTGCAGCATGATCACACCCCATCGTGGGGGGGAGGGGCTTTCTCCCTCTCTTTCTCTGTTGTCTCTGGTGAATGCACATGCTCTCTGGCAAAAAAAAAAAAAAAAAAAAAAAAAAAAGGAAAAAAAAAGGGGCTTTTTTTGGCGGTGTGCTTTTGTGTTGCCACTTTGGTTATTGTTATTGCTAAATTGGTTATTGGGGATGAGCAGAAAGGGTTGGGGATGGCTATGGGTATTAACATTATTCTGGAAAGGATTCATGGAGGAGATGAACGTGAAACAATTTTGAAGAAGAAATGAGAAGTAATCCTTGGGATACCTTGTGTTGATATTTCTGGCTCATTAAGTTGGAATCTAGAAAGATAAGGCTCTCACTTGTAAATAGCAGCCTAATCTGGTTTATTGTTCCAAGGTTATTGATCTTCTGTGGAGTGATCCTAGAGGCAAATAGGGCTGGTATTCAAAAGAAAGATAAGACTCTCACTTGTAAATAGCAGCCTAATCTGGTTTATTGTTCCAAGGTTATTGATCTTCTGTGGAGTGATCCTAGAGGCAAATAGGGCTGGTATTCAAATACAAGTCGAGGAGGTGGCTGCTATTTTGGACCAGATGTTACCTCTAGGATTCTTAGTAAATATCAGTTGAAGATGCTCATTAGGTCTCACGAATGTAAGCCCGAAGGATATGAAATCTGCCACGATGGGAAGGTAAGCCAACGTTGTTGGTGACTTTCTCACAGAAATTCTTTCTTAGGAAAGCCTTCTCTTCATAGTATGTCTGACCTGGCAGCCATGAGAAGATGTTCTTCCCTAGAACAGAAACCATGAGTGTAGGGTTCACATAGGTTTTTGATGAGGCCTCACCATTTCTTTCCCTCAGAGATGCTAGTGTGGCTTATTTCTTTGATCTTCCCTAATCCCAGAAACAGAAATTCTGATGCATGGCACTAAGTACACATACAGAAAGGTTCTTTCTTGACTAATTGTAGGGCAACTCTCCCACACAGTAGGGTCGGGGATGCACAAGTCCTCACGGAGCACATAAAAGGCAGTAGTGAATCCAGTTTGCTCTCCTTGACTTTTTGCATGTCCCCTGTGTAGGGCAGGAAACACAAAGCCTGTTTCCTTTCAACTTGCCGAGTATATGATCTCCAGCAAGTTGCTTGCTGGGGACAGTTTAGCTGTGGCCACTAAAACGGAGCATGTGTGCTCCTTCACGGTGTCTGATAAGGCTAGAAGAGGTGAAGACTGAGGAACTGGTTTATATCCCAAGTTGTCCTATGATGCCCCTTTTTTTTAATAGTGGACATAAATAAATAAAAAGTGAATTCCAAATTATATACATTTCCTTCTATGTCAGCACTTTGCTTTTCTGTATTAATTCATTTTACTCATTCTACCATTGCAAGATGGGTAAGGCAAAGTTACTTAGGGGTTCTTTGTAATAAGAAAATAGAAAATAACAGTGACGTGTCTGAAATGATATGCTCATTACCACAAGTTCCCTGTCACCAGCAGGTATTGTCCTCCCATACTCCACCATGGCCCAAGAGCTGGTTCCTTGCCAAGATAGTGGCGAGGGTCCCTTATTCTAGCCACTTTTTCTCTACCCTTAAAGCACTGGTTTTGCAGGGCCCTATATCCTCTAAATCACTCAGCTCTCAGTAAAGAAAAAAGACTGAGATACTAGACAAGTTTTATTTGGAATGCTCAAATATTACAAGGCATGAACATAAGGGATTTATTTCCTTGGAAAATTACAGTTTACAAACCACACACCAAAGAGGATTTTAAGATCTGGGACTGGTACACAGGATTGCAGGGTCACGCACTGTGGGTATGAGGTGAGTGGCTAGGAGTTTGTGCTTCTGGAACTCGAAGCAAAAAGCCTTGTTTCCTCTGATGGAATCACAGGAAATCATGCTGGACTTGGATAATTATAGAGGTTATGAACTTTAATTTTTTTGCTTTTTAAGAATTGAGCTATTCCTGACTTTATTAAATGACCTTTTGAGAACTAATTTTACATGAATCTGATTCTCTTTTCCTTTATTCAGGTTGTTACTGTATTTTCTGCTTCCAATTATTATGAAGAAGGCAGTAATCGAGGTGCTTACATCAGACTGAGTTGCGGTACAACCCCTCGATTTTTCCAGTACCAAGTAACTAGGGCCACATGCCTGAAGCCTCTTCATCAAAGGTGTGTATACTGAGCACTGGTGATTGAGTAGAACTAGTCTCAATGACCAAGAGCAGACATGTGGGTGAACTTACTTGTTACTCATCGGTATAAAGAAAAGCAAAATAGTTTCAGACACCAGGTGGTGAATGTAACCCATATTTGAAACCAAAAAGAGCAATCAATTTTTATTTCATCCTTCTTTTCAGATTTATAAAGTAGTCAGCAACCACGATTCTAACTGAATATAAAGAAAATAAGCACTGCCCCTGCTCCAACCTACCACAGCCACAAACAGCCCCATCCGGTCATGATGGCGTGATGGCATTTAGAGCCTGTCTTCCTTTTCTTCCTTTAATATTTTCCATTTTAGATTTTTTTACATTATAAAACTAACCATGTTTAATTTTTTAAGAATTATTTATTTGATTTCATCCATTTGTTCATTTATTTTAATTTGACCAGCGAGAGACACACACAAAGAGAGAGAGAGAGAGAGAGAGAGAGAGAAAGTGAGAAAGCAAGACACCAGGTCCAGGACTCGAGCTGTGGTTGACCATGTGGGAATATCCAGCACCTTAACAACCACACCACCTGCTAGGGCCCCATGTTTGTTAATAAAAGAGAGAGAGAAAAACAGAGAAAATGTTAATGATCTTCTTTCTCCTTCTCAATAATCAATTTTCCACCGAGGTAACCAAAACTGACAGCCTAGAGTGTCCCTTTACGCCCTCTTCTCCTTGCTCCTACAAAAACGGATAAGTGATTGTTCACTCATTCAGCAAAATCAATTTCTGAACACCTACTGTGTGTCAGATATTGTTCTAGACACAGGTGATATAGAAATAAACAAAATAGGCAAACATCCCCTCATCAAATATATAGCTCAGTGTGAGAAGAAAGATATTAAACATAAATACATTTATTTTAAAAAAATAGAATCACACTGCACACCCTGTTCTTCATCTGATTCTTTATTTCCCCTAAAGATTGTATCATGAGCATCACTCCAAGTTAGTATTTAAAGACCTAACTCATTCTTTTTATGTAGATGTACAATATTCTAAAGTATACATGTACTAAAACACTTATGGAATAACTAAATTCTTTTCTTTTTTTTTTAAAGAATTATTTGGGACCAGCAGTTAGCATAATGGATATGTTGCTGAACTCCCATGTAGTCGACCACAGTTCAAGTCCCAGACCCGGTGGTTTAAACTCACGCCGGGTGCGTGTGCATGTGTGCCCAAGATCCCAAGAGGAGAATGGAGGAGAAGGGATTGCAGCGTGACCATCCCCCCTGGGGGGTGATTTCTCACTTTCTATCTCTCTCTCTCTCTGTCTTTCTGGCGAGTGCATGTGCCCTATAGCAAAAACCTCTCCCCCCAAAAAGAGAATTATTTATTTTTATTTAATACCATTTGTTATTATTATTTTTCAATTTGACCAGACAGAGACATAGAGAGAGAGAAAAGGAAAGTGAGAAAGCAAACCACCAGGTTTAGGACTCAAACCATGGTTGGCCATGTCAGAATCCAGCACCTTTAACCACCATGCCACCTGCCGGCCCCTGGAGTAACTAAATTATTTTCAATTGATGAACATCCAGATTGTTTCCAGCCCTTTGCATTGAAAAATAATACAATGAGGCCAGCAGGTGGTGTGGTGGTTTAAGCGTTGGACCCCCACATGGCCAGTTGTGGTTTGAGTCCCAGACCTGTTGACCTGAAACTCACACTGGGCATGTGTACATACATGCCCAGAATCCCGAGCGGAGAATGGAGGAGAAGGAATTGCGGCATGGCTATCCCTCCTGGGGTGTGATTTCTCACTTTGCCTTTCTTTGTCTCTGACTGTCTCTCTCTCTCTGGCAAGCACAGGTGTCCTATGACAAAAACCTAAAAAAGCAAAATAAAAACAATGTCATTTCTGCAAACGTTCCTGTATATAAGGAACTCAAAAACCCAATAGCAATAAAAAAAAAAAAACAACAACACATCAAAATGGGCAAAAGTGGCCAGCAGGTGGCATAGTGGTTGTGGCACTGAACTCCCACGGGGTTGACTGTGGTTTGAGTCCCAGATCTGGTGGCTTGAGACTCACACTGGGTGCATGTGTGTGCATGCCCAGAATGCCAGGAGGAGAATGGAGGAAAAGGGATTGTGACATTGCCATCCCCTCTGGGGGGTGATTTCTTGCTTTCTGTCTTTCTTTCTCTATCTTTCTGGTGAATGCATGTGCCCTCTACCAAAAATATCTCTCTCAAAGAAAAAAAAAAGGCAAAAGACTTGAACATTTTCCCAAAGAAGACAGACAATTGCCAACAGGAACATGAACTCAGCATCACTAATTATCAGGGAAGTGCAAATCAAAACCACAATGGGATGTCACCCCACATTTTTTAGGATGGCTATTATTAAAAAGATAAGCACTAACAAGTATATGCTGTATGGTTACCATTTAAAGTATATAATTCGGGGCTGGCAGGAGGTATGGTGGTTAGGGCACTGGACTCCCACATGGCTGACCATAGTTTGAGTCCTGGACCTGGCAGCTTGCTTTCTCACTTTCTCTCTCTCTCTGGTCAAAATAAGAAATAATAATAAATAAAATTAAATAATTCTAAACAATAAAGTATGATAATTCAATGATAATTAGTATATTTACAGAGTTATGCAACCATCACAATTACCTATTTTTGAGCATTTTTATCATTCTCAAAAGGAAACTATTGCCTATCGCCAGTCACTTCCTAGTCACCTCTCATCATTGCTCTAGGCAGCCACCAATTTATATTCTGTCTCTAGGGATTTGCCTATTCTGGACATTTCATATAAATAGGGTCACACATGTGGGTTTTTTGCAACTGGCTTCTTTCATTCAGCACAGTGTTTTAAGGTTCATTCATGTTGTAGCATGGAAAAGTATTTCACTCCTATTTTATTTTATTTTATTTTATTTTATTTTATCTTACTTAGTTTTTGCTGTAGAGCATGTGTGCTCGCCAAAGAGAGACAGAGAAAGTGAGAAATCATCCCCCAAGGGGGATGTCCATGTTGCAATCCGTTATCCTTCTCTCTCCTCTAGGGATTTGGGGCATGCATGCAGGTGTGCCTGGCATTTTTCTCAAGCTTCCCAGACCAGGACTCAAACCATGAGGTTGGCCATGTGGGATCCAGCTGCCTTAACCACCAGGCCACAGAGCCAGCCCACCAGAGAGAGATAGAGAAAGCAACCCACCAGGGTCAGTACTCAAATTGCAGCTAGCCTTATGGGAGTCCAGTGCCTTAACCACGCTGGACATTTTTGCTGTTTCCACTTTTTTTCTCATTTTTTTATTAATTAATTTTTCTTTTTTTAACATTAATACGCTACACATTATTACAGTATACAAAATGAATTTTCCATCCAAAATACACTGTTGGCTCAATCAAGCACATCAACACACTTGTTATCAACAGACAATTTTCAGTTTCTTATGTCTTGTACATTTTGCTTTATAGTATTCTGCTCACTGAGGTTTATGCCTAAAGTCAGACATGGGTTCTTGTGTATGTATATATCAGCTGTGCTTGCTATTGCAAATGTTTAGACAAACTAAGTTCATTAGCAAATCAATTAAATGGGGGGGAAAGGCATAGAAAGCAATCATGGATACCAGAGACAATGGGAGGAGGGGAGGACATGGCAGAGGGATAGGGATAGGGAATCAAGGATGGCTGTTTCCACTTTTTTGGTCATAAATAATGCTGTTATCACCACTTGTGGACAAGTTTTTGTCTATGCATATGTTTTCATTTCTTTTAGGTATATACTTGAAAGAGGATTTGCTGGATTGCCTGTAGCATTTTGAAGAACTTCCCATTTTTTCCCCAATTTTGTACATTTTTTTTATTCTCACCTTCTGTACATGAGGATTCCAATTTCTCCACATCCTTGCCAATATTTATTATAATCTTTTTGATTATAGCCATCTTAGTGGGCATAAGGTAGAATCTCACTGTGGTCTTAATCTACATTCCCATTTTGATAAATGATACTGAAGCAAATTTTCATGTTCTTATTGACATTTGTGTATCTTCTTCGAAGAAATGTGTATTTCAGATCCTTTCTACATGTTACTTGAGTTAATATTCTTTATTATTGTTTTAGGAGTTCCTTATGTATTCCATATACATATCACTTGTTAGATATATGATTTGCAAATATTCTTTCTCATTCTTTTGTTTGTTTGTTTGTTTGTTTTTGAGAGGTTTTCGCTATAGGGTGCATGCACTCGCCAGACAGAGAGAGACATAGAGACAGAAAACGAGAAATCACCCCCCAGAGGGGATGGTCACGCCGCAATCCCTTCTCCTCCATTCTCCTCTCGGGATCTTGGGCACGCATGCACACGCGCCCGGTGTGAGTTTTAAGCCACCAGGTCTGGGACGCGAACCGCGGTCGACTACATGGGAGTCCAGCAACATAGCCATTACGCTAACTGCTGGTTCCCTTCTTTCTCATTCTTTAGGATGCCTTTTTCCTTTCCTTTTTTCTCTTTAATTTTTTTGTTTGTTTGTTTTGCTTTGCTATAGGGCAATGTGCTTGCTGGAGAGGGCGGGGGGGGGGATGAGAAAGCAATCCCCACAGGGTTGACCATGCCACAATTCCTTCTCCTTTATTATCCTCTTGGAACTTTGGGCATGCATGCATGCATCATGCCTGGCATGTCTTTCAAGCTGCCAAGTCTAGGACTCGAATCATGCAGTTGTCCATATGGGATCCAACAATCACTAGCTGACTCATCATTTCCCTTTCTTAATGGTATTATTTGCAGTACAAAAATTTTTCACTTTGAAGAGGCCCAGTTTATCTTTTTTGTTTCTTTTGTTCTTTTTCTTTTCTTAGTGGTATTTACAGCACAAAAAATTTTTCACTTTGATGAAGTCCAATTTTTTTTCTTTTGTTGCTAGCACTTTTAATGTCTTATCTGAGAAGCCATTGCCTAATTCAGTCATAAGAATGTATTCCTTTTTAAA